GTTGAGCCCAAGGCCGCACGGAGAGTGGTCTTAAGAATCGCCCCGTGACATCTGCATGATCATTCTGACAAAAATGGTGACCAAAAAAACGTTAACGAGGCCAGTGAAATTATTTCAGCTTCTCCATTGTTTGACTTTTTTTTCACCTTCTGGGGCCTTAGTTATGAGTTTAACGAGGTTCTAAGGAAACTTGGGCTGACATGTTTCAACTCATGGTGCTGGTGGAGGATCGGACATCAGATAAGCTTTAACCTCCTGGAATTCCAGAATATCGGATCCCATCCCCAAAGTATGAACTTCAATTTTGATGGGAGCTTATTGTCTGGTCTGGTTCCAATCCTTTCAATTCCATTCTATTATACTGTTTTTTTATATCGCATTTAGGTGAGTGAAAAAAAATAACAAAAATAGACATTGAACTCTGAAATAAAGTACTACAAAATAAAGATAGGTATCATTGATTCCATCCTTTTGAATATAACCACAAAAAGAGTAAGAAAATGAAAACTCAGCATTCCGAGGCAATCTATGACAAATCCAATCCTCTGGACAAGTGAGCTTTTGGAGTTGAGGGATAAGTAAATTATTGACTCCAACAGTATCCCCTATTCCATAGTTTCCTATTATTCATCATTTGATAAACTGTGACGTAAATTAGGAAATGAGAGAGGGGACAGATACAAAATAAAGCTTGTAGTATCATCCTTTATCGCAGAAACCAATCGTGTAGTGGTTTGCACTTGTATTTTATGATTCAATACTTAATTTTAAGCCTCTGTATTAGTTCATTTGGTTGGTCTATAGTTAAATCATGACTCCAACTTAGGTCTGAGGAAGCATTTGCAAGATTTGAATGCAGGTTCAAGTCTCTTTTGTCAGCTTCTTAGGAAATTTGAGGGTGACAAAGTCTCCCAATGTCTGATTTTTCCAACCAAAAAGGAAACAAGGAGATTGTAAGATTTTGGTATTTGATTTAGGCCTATAACAAAGCACCCCTCCCCCGAGGGGAGGAGGGGAAATGCTTGCTTAGCTGAAATTGCCTGTTTGAAAGAACGTGAAGAATGCATCATTCATAGACGCGTGAACCGTGTTTGTTCAAATAATGCAAGTGTAATGAACCAGTGAATTTGCAAACTTGTCAAATATCCTCCAATTAAGGGACACTTTGTCTCTTCAGCGAATTTGGACACTGTCACTATTTTTAGTGATGGTTTGTCGACATCTACTGTGAGTTTGGTTCAAGACAGCTAGATCTTGTAAGATCTTTTCTTTGCTCCCCATAAACAACCCAGTTTTTCTTTTCTCCTCTGAGAAAAACAGAATAATTTTTGGCAGAAAAAACAATATACTGTGATAATAATTTCGTATTATTACTGCACTTAAGGTGAACTCTTTGTACTTGAACACACCATTTTCTTGTTCAGGTTTAACTCTTCCTTGAGTCCATCTAACACTCAAGTTGTGGCAATTCAAGGGTAAGTGAAAAAACCAAACTCTACAATGGAAACAAGAGAACAACCCAATCAATTTTTGCCCTTTCTTTTCCGCCCCGCCTGCTAAGCATTGAATGCCAACGAACCCAACAAACCTTTGCCATCAAACATAAATAACATGAAACACAAAAACACAGTCCCCCAAGACCGGTCATTCTTTCAAGAAAAGCAGAAACCTGGTGACCAAAGCAGGAAGAAAAATACTTTCTTACCCCACGGTTATTTAATACAGGCTTGAGTAAAAGAACACCTGAAAACAAAAAATAAATAGAGATTTGGGCCAAGAATGGAAAGAAGCATGGTGGGCAACTGCAGAAAAATATGGCTAATCTATTTTGTCCTTTGCAGTAGTTTGCAAGTGTATGATAAATAGGAACAAACGACAAGAGGACATCACGATTGTTCATGTAATAGATTGAATGAATCTAACGGTCGCGTTCGGTTCAAAAAACTGTTTAAAGTAGTGAAGTATTAAAGAAACCATTTCTCCACCTGTTACTGTGTTTTTTAGGTGGAGCATAGATGCAGAAAAGACATTTGACAATGGATTATTACTCCGTTGTTCTGGGCCTTAAGAAAATGATGCTGCCCTTGGGTCTTTTCGAATTACCTTTTGGCCACAGTAAAATAGGATGATCTTTTCAAAATAATATAAATTTATTATGCCCAAAAATATGGGGCAATTTATTAAGACTTTGGTACCTTAATTCAAGGTAGACAAGTTGGTCCATCTCTTTGTTAAGATATGATAATGTTGAGTTTCACAAGGCTTCAACATGCAAGGTTAACATTAAAGAATCCACAATCACTTACTATCAAAGATTGAATGAAGTTGCTGACACTAGTAAGTTGTTCAAGAGTTTTGGAACTTGGGATAAATATTTAAACTTTGTAATACTAATATTATTTTTCAGGTTCGGACTCAATCAATCCTTCAAGAGTTAAGTATTGAACTATTGGTAAAAGGAAACTACATATCATTTAAAGCCATGAGAAATACTGAAGATGCTCAATGGAAATTTAAACAATTGGATGAGCAGGTGAAACTTATTGGACTAGAATTTATGGTAGGTTTATTTGTTTAATCATATCTACCTTAGGAGTAATAAATAATGTCAAAAACACAAGCTGGAAACCAACAATGAAGAAGGGCCATAGGTTGCCGTTTGAGAGGGGGCCCATATTCTGCATTTCAAAATATTTATCTGTTAGAGTTTTGAAATTTATTGAGAGGGACGATAAAGTGCTGCAAGACCCTTTGACTACAGATGATTACTTCTCTCACAAGCTGATGTGTTTTTTTATTAGTTTTTCTCCTTACACTTAACAAGAGGGACTTCTGCTCTATCATCTTCTCACTCTTCAACTCATCTGAGAGCACTTTTCTCTCTTACCTCCTGCTTTCTCTTGTTTAACTTTTATATTCGTCTTTTACCCTGAAGCTGCAGTTAGCTTACTTTAACTGAACTTTTCAAGGAGTTTTAATATATATTAGTGCTGTAGCTAAAGAACTACCAGTGTTTCCGGTTTAGGAAGATGAGTGCTTCAAAGTTCATTAAATGTGTTACAGTTGGAGATGGAGCTGTTGGTAAAACCTGTATGCTCATTTGTTACACCAGCAACAAGTTCCCAACTGTAAGTTCTTTAAAGAACCAACCTGCTGAAATTCACTCTTATCCTTGTTTTATTGCATTGATGTACTTTGAAACTCAGGAGTGGTTCCTCTCAAAAGTTTACACCCTGGGTATTTTTTTTTCTTATTTACGCAACTTAGGAGTAGTAAGCTTGCTCTTTTTCTCAAGCTTTATTGCTTTTTCTCTGTGTCAGGATTACATACCAACAGTGTTTGACAATTTCAGTGCCAATGTGGCTGTGGATGGGAGCGTTGTTAATTTGGGTTTATGGGATACTGCAGGTATTTGGATTTTCTTACATGTAAACTTGAGCTCTTCTTTGGTGCTTGCTATGTTGGTTGAATAACTTGATGGGTTTTGCTTGATGCTTCTTTTCTGATTGAGTTTTCGTTTTTCATCTGATTCAAAGGTCAGGAGGATTATAGCAGGTTAAGGCCACTGAGTTACCGAGGTGCAGACATATTTGTCTTAGCATTCTCACTAATTAGCAGAGCAAGCTATGAAAATGTTCTCAAGAAGGTGCTATTTTCGATGCCAATGTCTTCTACTTTTAACTTTTCTTCTGTTCTTTAAGCAAAAAAAAAAAAAAAAGAAAGGTCTTTTGGTTATTGCTATTTTTAGATCATGTTTGAAAAAAGTGGATTTATTCCAATTCAAATTAAAGTCAAATGGCTGTTGGCTTTGTATTCTTTCTCAGCACAAATGTCTTTTAATGGAATCTTGATGTTAGGAAAATTGGATTAATGGCATCAAGTCAGGAGCTGTTTTACTGTGTCATATCCAATATCCTAAATAATCCATTTGATTTGTTCACAGTGGATGCCAGAATTACGTCGATTTGCACCAAATGTTCCGATTGTTCTGGTTGGAACAAAGCTAGGTAGGCAGCTCTCTCAGAACTATTTTATCTTATAACTATGCACAGAACTATGTTCAAAAAGATTGAAAGGATTTGATGAGTAACATTGAATTATGTTCTTTCTATCTATATCAGATCTGCGGGAGGATAGAGCATATCTTGCTGATCAAATGGGATCTAACATCATAACATCTGCTCAGGTAATGCTTTTCTTAAGTTTAGCTTTGTTGTGAACTTATTATTTGTGGATAGTATTTGGGTTTTAGCATAAAGTAAAGTAGCTCATTCAGAACATGCTACACAGGGAGAGGAACTGAGGAAACAAATTGGTGCAGCTGCTTATATTGAATGCAGCTCCAAGACTCAGCAGGTGAATTTTTCATGTCGTTATATTAAAACTTGTTCTGTTGTCCTTTCCTTCTTTATATATATATATATCTTTTGTGTATTTTTTTTGTAAATGTTTTAATGAATAAAACCTGATCTTTGTGGACTGTTCAGAATGTCAAAGCAGTTTTTGATACTGCAATCAAGGTTGTTCTTCAACCCCCAAGGAGGAAGGAGGTGGCAAGGAAGAAAAGGCACCGAAGGTCTGGCTGCTCAATTGCGTAAGTAGTTCATTTCTTCTCTTTTGTTAGTTTTGGTTGCTTAAGCCGTAAGATTTATTCCTGTCATTTGAAAATATTGGTATATTAGTGTTCATTCTTAAGTTGTGTTGTACCATTGTAACAAATGATTCAGACAAGGTTACAGAATCCTCATGGTCATAGAGAGGCTGAGTTCTGTCAGATTATCACTGATCAACTGGAAGGGATAGGTTTCCGAAACAAAGACGACTGGAATTTTAGGGGGGGTACCCCTTAAATTTTGTTTTTGGTCCTTGATGAGTTAAAAAAAGTCTTCTGGAACTTTCCATCATGCCAAAGCCTCCCTTAGAACAGGGAATCAGGGAGGAAAATGGAAAAGACAAGTGAACTGTTTGGGCAATGCTTTTGAACGAAGCACCATATCTTCTATTAATGCCCTTTTTTTTATAGGATCAACATTCTAGGAAAAGTTTCCTATGAATTCAGATCACACTACATGGTTAGATTTATTTAAGGCATCCCAAGGCTCTGGTCTGGTTTGTACCAATTTGAGGGCATTGCAATCAGAAAACAAAGTAACCATGGTGAAGAGACTTGACCTGAATAAGGTTACTATAAATCTTTCAACTTAACCGATATGGAATATAAGACCACTTAGCAAATGTTTCACTGCCTTGGGTGCATATATGGTACTAATTATTTGCTATCTGTTGCAGGAGTTTGGTCTGTGGAGGATGTGATGCTTAATTAGGAGATGGTGTGGCTGTGGATTCAAAGTCATCAGCCACTGACAATTGCTGCTTCCTGACAAGCAAACTTCATCGATGCTTTCATGTTTTTGGGCACTCAATGACTTGGACCAAGAAACTGACGGGGAGAAAGACAGAGGGAATTGTTCATTCTCTCGTGTATTATTACTATTACTTTGTAAAACTGTCTTTTGTGGTTTCTGCTGAAAATATAACTTGCTATGAATTAAATATGTTGTTTAACTCCTTATCCACCGGTCATTTGTTTTTTACCCTTCAGCTAGGATCTCATGTTACTTCTTTGTTCGATATCTTCCTGTTCTTGAAAAATCATTGAGCAGAAAAGATAGTGCAAGCGAACTCCTGCTATAAGAGTTATGGATAATAGAATCGTTTTGCTTAGACAAGGAATTTACAAGCAATAAGCAACATTTGATCAACAAAATCAGATATTAATTGCTTCCAAGTGATCAACAATCTCCCTTTTGACAAGGATTTTGGCAATGTTCACTGGTGGTTGTGTGTCATCTTCCATTTATTCAAAGCACATGCACCACTGAAAATCATCCATTTCTTCGAAGACTTCTAGTATTTGTAAAGGCTTAAGTTCATTCGCTTAAAAATTGTCAATTTGCCATGTCCAATTGTCTCCCTGATAAGAACAAGGAAGGGACCAGTGGATTTCAGGACAAGGACTGAACCATAATAAATGTGACGTGGGGAATGTAGATCGGCTTCTTAAATGCATGTAAGGAGGCAACTTCCCCTCTCCTGTCTAATCACGCGGAGGTGTCGGAATCATCGGCCCAGCAAAACAAAGTATGGGATCATTGGATTGTATGCAGACATAATAGTTATGTCTTTCATGATATCAAATTTCAAATTTTATTGATATTTTAATATATTTTTTTAAATATGAATCAAATCAAAATTAATTTATCGTTCGGATTAATATTAGGTTAATATTCTAAAAATTAATGTTGTCTGATTGTGGCTTACCAATTCTGATCCGTCCCTGACTTCACATTGAGCCTTTTGGACAAACTATGCTGTGCCCTACATGGAACTCATTTTAGCAGTGCAATTAGGCCGCGGAAGAACATCTGCTAAAAAGAACTCTTTGCCTCGTGGGCTTTGATTCGGGCCCAGTAATGGGCCCAACTGTAAGCCCTGTCTGTGGACCGGACCAAACCATGTCCTGCAATGTAACCCCACTTCATTAAACGTCGTCGTTGCTTTTAACTCCTTATGCTCGCTCTTTCCTCTTTTGAATCGATTCTTCCAAGCACAACAGAAAAAAGGGCACCTCGAAAATCATCAGACAAAGAAAGAAAAATGGAGCATCCACTACCAAAGAGCTGGAGTATCCACACCAGACCCGAGATCGTCGCCAAGTACGAGATCATGGAGCGCGTCGGCTCAGGCGCCTACTCCGACGTCTACAGGGGGCGTCGACTCTCCGACAACCTCATGGTCGCCCTCAAGGAAGTTCACGACTACCAATCGGCGTTCCGAGAAATCGAGGCCTTGCAAATGCTCCAAAACTGCCCCAACATCGTCGTTTTGCACGAGTACTTCTGGCGGGAGGACGAGGACGCAGTGCTCGTCTTGGAGTTCTTGAGGACCGATTTAGCGGCGGTTATTCGCGAAGCGAAAAGAAAGGAAGGTGGGGTCCGACTTGGAGAAGTTAAAAGATGGATGCTTCAGATTTTATGCGGAGTCGATGCGTGTCATCGGAACATGATCGTTCATCGGGATTTAAAGCCTGGGAATTTGTTGGTTTCTGATGATGGGGTTCTTAAGTTAGCTGATTTTGGCCAGGTAAATTTTATTGGATTTTCTTAGCTTTAGTTTGATTTTGGTTTTTTGAGTTAACGGTTTCTGTTGGGGAACTTCGGTTTTGCGAAATGTATGTGCTTTTCCTTTTTATTGCTTCTTACAAGATATATAGTTGAAATGTGAAGCTTTGGGAAGAAAGGTGTGGTGACTGGTGATCTTGAATGAAGTTTAGTTTTGATTGGAAAATTTGCTTTAATTTAACGGGACACATAGCAAGTGTATAAATCTAGAGCTTCTAATTGTTCAACGTAATAGCCCGATGATTACGTTCAATGACCATTTAGCAAGTGTATAAACCCGTTCATTGCGTTTATAAAGTCCACCGCCAGTTTGTAAAATAATAATCTGACTAGGAATATGTTGAAATTTTTTGTTCTCAAACTATGTCTATTCCTTTGTTGTTTTAGCAGATGCTTCCAATCATGTGATCAAATTGATCTGTGCCGAAGTTCGGAGAAGAAAATTTGGATGCTTTGGGTTTGACGGGATTTTTTCAAATTTCTGCATTCTGGGTGTCTTTTCATCCAAATGTTGCATTTGTAATGGTAAATGAGGTGATGCATTTGCATCAATAAGAGGTGTTGATGCTAAATTATGAAAGACTGTTGCTTTTTCTATTGACTTGCTACAATATCATTAGGACGTGCTATTGGTTTCCTGATAATTACAGGAAAGCTTAGCACATTGGCCCCATGCATTATATCATAATATGACTTTTCGGTGTCAATAAACAGTTAGAACAGGCACAGGCAGTCAAGATTTGGCATCAATGTCATTTGTTTTGGTTGTTAGTAACATGCTTTCAGTAATTTAAATTTTGTGTATTTTGGTCTGGGTCTGCATATTGTGCTTTTCATGTTCTAATGTTTCATATTAGGTATATCAAAAGAATGATGGGATCAAGGAATTGAAAGAAGTGGAGATTTTGTCTCCACTAAGTATCAGTGGTTCCTTGGTGGCTGTCTTAACTTGACAACTCGGCTGCTAAAACTCTCCAACTGCTAGTTTTGAGTAGTTAGTCTTGATTACAACATCTATCTCACAGCCTTGGTACATATTCTTGTAAGGGTGTGATTAGTGTCTCTAGTGTGTTTCTGAAGAACGCCAAGTACTCTATGAGTTATTGTCTATAAAAGAACTGTGCTATTTACTTAATTTGTTATCTTCTATACATCATATGTCTGTTTGGCTTTGTTTTCAGGCAAGGATACTCATGGAGCCCGGATTTGTTGCTGACAATGATAACCAACAATCATACGAGCAGAACACAGGATATCAGGAAAACATTTCTCCACCATTAGATTCTGTCCCTGGAACTGACAGTTTACAAAATCCAGGATATAATAACCTAGTGGAGGAGGATATGAGTAGAGAAGAATATTTTAGACAGTTTGTTGAGCTCAAGGCTAAACGACACGCCATGGATGAGACTGACAAAGAAACAAATATTAATGACGGAAACACATCTTGTCTTGCAACAGGTACCATAAGTGACATTGAAGATGATCCTCTCAAGAGTTCTTACTCATACGAGGCTGAAGAAGGGGGGGATGATGAACATGGTGCCCTCACATCTTGTGTTGGTACCCGCTGGTTCAGAGCCCCCGAACTACTCTATGGATCAACAGACTATGGACTAGAGGTGGATTTGTGGTCATTGGGCTGTATTTTTTCAGAGCTGCTAACTCTCGAGCCCCTTTTTCCAGGGATTTCTGACATTGATCAGCTTGGAAGAATCATCAGTGTTTTGGGAAAGTTGACTGAAGAGGTCTGGCCAAGCTGTTGTAAACTTCCTGATTACAGAACAATTTCCTTTGCCAAGATAGAAAAACCAACTGGTTTAGAAGCCTGCTTACCCAATCGGTCCCCCTATGAAATTTCTCTTGTCAAAAGGCTTGTTTGTTATGACCCAGCTAATAGAGCTACTGCAATGGAACTGCTCAATGACAAGTATTTCAATGAAGAGCCTCTTCCAGTTCCAACATCTGAGCTGCATGTCCCTCTTACAAAGAATGACCACGATGAGGATTCCCCTGGTGAGTGGAATGATTATAATGACATGGGTTCTGACTCTGATTTCGATGATTTTGGCCCCGTTAATGTCAGGACCACCAGCAGTGGCTTTTCCATACAATTCTCTTGAGCTTGGTCGGAATTGAATTATATCGTTGAACAGTTAAGTTATATATTCCAATTTGATTTAAGGTATAGTTAAAAAATCAGCTATTAGAAAGATGAGCGATCATGAATCTTTGGAAGTTGCATGTCTTTGTATTAAATCAATATGTTGAATGCCCTTCATTAATTGTGAAAACCAGAAATATATACCTGTGGTAAAATGTAAGCTTTGCCTTCCTTTTTTTTTTTTTTTTCTAAAAGCGCCATAAATATAGTGTATTTAATGAAAGGCATAATCAAAAGAGTATTGTCTTACCTCTTAGTCCTCATTCCAATTTTCAGATGGCAAAAGGCAGCCTAAGATCAGCAACTCCGGCGAGTAGATTCTTGCCAACGGTGGGTGAAAAATGAGAAAAAATGAAAAAGAAGGCAAAAGGGTTAAGAGAAAAAGAAAATATAAAAAATTCTTGTTTTGGTAAGTAAAAACATTTATTATTTTTTTAAAAAAGTTGAGATGATATTTTTGTAGGAATTAACAAATGTGTTTAAAATTTTTAATTAAAATTTAAGTTATTATTTTATTTAATAATAAAATGATGTTAGACGAAAACTTTAATAAATATATATATATGAGAGGTTTAAATATTAATTTTTAATTGAGGGGCAAAATGATATTTTAATATTTATTCTTTACATATTCTTTTATATGATTTAACTAACTAAACATCATTCTATGAAATTATAAAATAATTATTTATGTTATATTCTATTCTTACAATTTTTATTTCATTTTACAAACCAAAACATACCGTTACATTGAGTGTCGGTCAATCCATAAAACACTCGTTTTAAAATAAAATTAAGAGTAATGTGACATTTAACCTTTTTATTATAATGAGATACTTGTATTAAAAGCTGATTAATAACTTGATTTTTTGATGCCATTGGTTGATGATTGTCCTTTGTAATTTTCATTTTGATTCCAGCTTTTTTTCCAATACATACTTAATGTTTATTACAAGCCTATAAAGGGCATACTATTCTATCAGGACCCACAATTACTCTACTGGATAGAGCTAATTATGGAGCACAAAATCAAATATTCCTTCACAACAACCCTAATTGGTAATTGCCAGGAGGTGGAAATACTTTCATGTTACATAAATCAATATTTTTAAAGAGATTACATTATCATTACTAGTGATGCGACTGACCAAAACCCAGAATTGCATTAAACTAGCATCATAGTTATCTTCATGCCCTAACTAAAATGCATTGGGTTTTGAGACCACTAACCAATTTGATAGGATTATTACTTGTGCTTTTGATTAAAACCATATTATCCAGTTTTTACCAGGTAAATGCTCATGTAACAGGAAACATGCTTAGACATTATACCGTTGATAGGATTATTTGATTAAAACCCTCTTATCCAGTTCTAACTATATAACAGTAAACACTGACACTTTTTTTTTTATATAATTTAGAGACTTATCTAAGTATTCTGCCTAATATTATTTATTTAATCAAAATGAACTTAGCAGAAAACAAAGGCATGCTAAAATGAAAATTAAAAAAAAATGGGCATAGAATAACCCTAAATAAGAAACAGCCTCTTAATTTCATCATCTGATAGAACCATTTTTGCTTTCACCTTTCCCCTACTAGCTGATTAAATTTTCAAACATTGATTAATATTTTAGCTTGTATAATGAACTACTTCAACTTCTATCAGAACTTATGTAACACAACAATTGCATCAACAAATGGAATGAATTTCAGATGCCAAACTAGCATCAGTATTAGAGCAATGTTTTGAGCCCATACTCATATAATCAGTTGGCAGCAACTGCTATAAAAGCTCACCTGTATGCTGAACTTCTCTTCCCGTTAGTTTGTTGGTTAGTACAAATCCTATCTTATTACAAGTCTTCCAGTAATTTTCAATCAGTACCCTCTTTAGCAGCTCCGCCACTAGTACCAGCTGTTGTCATGAAAGATTCACCACATCCACACTGCCCTTTAGAGTTTGGGTTGATAAAAATGAACTCAGACCTGAGTTTATCATCTACAAAGTCCATCTTGGTCCCAATCACATGCATCAAAGCTTTTGGATCAATTAATATTTTCACACCCTTGTCTTCAACCAATTCATCAAACTTTCCTTTCTCATCAGCGTAATTGAGGATGTAGGATAAGCCATTGCAACCACGAGCCTTGACACCCAATCGAAGGAACGGTCTTTGACGCTGTTGAAGAAGGTGACGGATTCTGGAGGCGGCTGCATCAGTCAATGACAGGGCTTGCCGCCTCATGGCTGCCGGCCTGATTTTCTCTGCAGCAGTCACAAATAATCGCGAAGCCATGATTTTTGTCCCCGTCCTGCATTGGTGGTAAAAATTGACTAATATTTAGTACTACAACAGTGTCATAATATTATTTACATCAATCAATGACTTTAATCAAAATAAAGTTAGCAAAAAACCAAACCCTAGAACGAGCATGATTAACAGAAAATAAAAGAAATTGGCTCGGCTTTGAAACAACCCTAGATAAGAGAATAACTGGCGAGAGAGGGAGAGATATACCAAGAAAATAAATAGCAGAAACACTAGGAAAACAATACTCTAAGAAAGAGGACACTACTTTAGATAAAGGAGGCCTTCACAAAGAATGAGAGTTTTATACTCCCTATACATGTGAAGTTCTCCTTAAAAAGTAATTTATATAGCTGTTTTATTTTATTGTTTTTTTTTTAAAATTCTACATGTTTTAAAAGACTATTAAATAGCAAATGTTATTACATTCTATAAATTTATGACTTCCTGTTGTGCAGGCCCTTTTTTCTGTCAGAATTTGTTATTTTACTTCTCATCAATAATATTAGCATCTGATTCATTTGATTGTGACAACCAATATGAAGAACAAAACAATGTGTGTTCGAAACTTACCCATCCAGCATTCAAATGAGATAGGGAAAACAAGTTTCTAATATTTGGTGCTCCTTATATGAGCTATATAGTATTTACTAAACTACCTCACTGACTTCACTACTTTAGCTATGTATTCAAATCTTATTCAACCAACAAACATCAGGCTTCGTTCAATTGTTGTTTTTAATCATATAGCAAATGCAGCCAAGAACCAACAGATCCAAAGCTAGCACCAAATCACAAACAGTCCTTGCAGCTCTAATGTAAGAAGGGAAGGCAGGGCAACACATGAAAGGTCCAACCAGAATTAGCATGCAAGATGAAATAAACATGAAAGGAAATACAAGAAAGAAACAAAGAAAAATCACGTGTTTTTAATAAAAACAGACATCTGCAGGACACACAAATGAGCTGCTGCCAGCCTCCTTCCTAAAATTACAACCATGAGATAATGTGTATATGAGGTATCAAATTGGCAGTTCAGCTGTCCTGTCTTGTTCATATCTAATCAAATTCTATCCCAATCATGTTAGTCCCAATGATTTTCATTGCAAAGTCAGTTCTAATTTCCCACTTCCTTCCAAACATATCTTTTGTTCCTGAACAAGCCACCATATTTGTTTATTTACACAATTAAAAAAGTCAAATAACGATTTTGCTAGCACTGTTTTCAAGATAAACACACATGAAACCAACCCCCAAATCAAGGGTCAAGCTCATTGCCATTTCTCTAGGCTAAGCATAAATGCCAACTAGGATTTAGACAGATATCTTAGTTTTGAGCTGTAATACTATATTACAGGGAAGGTGGGCAAATTAAATAATTTTCAAAAGATTGCAAGTTAGCTGTCTGAAATCTGAATCATACGTCATACAGACCAGATGGGTAGGCAAAGTGCCAAATTTAAACCCAATTTCTTTGCCGATGTTTCTGCTTCTTCCAATTAAGGAGCTCTCCCTTTTATGAAAATCACTCATTGAATAGAATTCCAGAAAATGTTGGCCAAATTTTATTATAAAAACTAGCTAAAGAACAGCTCACAAACTTTCCTTTATAATTGCAATATTTACTTGTTGTCTCTTACTTTTAACATATCTTTTTAGCTCATTTTTGTCCTAAAGAAAAAGAAATTTTCCTGATGTAGATGCTGATATATGTGGATTCTGTTACTTATCATTATGTTTTGTTCTTAAAGTGAAAGCAGTTCAAAGCCAGAGGTGAGGTGCCTTAGCCGAATATGTTTGAGCAGACAATAGCAAGCAAACCAGCAGTGTATACCAAACCAAGCAGTAGAACAGACAGAAGAAATCATAGGCAGACACAAGCACAGAAGAGTAACTCTTTACCTTGTAAATCAGCAGATACAAAAGAAAGCAAGCAAGCCAACACAAGAACACCAAGAAGTAATTCCATCTTCAGCAAAGTCAACAAATAAAACAAGTAAAATGGAAGAAAAATCTTGGCTAAAAATCCGATATTTACCTGTGAAAGAGTCAAAACTTGATGGCTAGAGTCTTGTTTTCCTACAAAAAAAAAAGGTAGATAAATCAGACCTCATTGAACCCTAAAACCAAATCAAGAAAACCCAGATTTGAAGAAGAAGAAGAAGAAGAAGAAGAAGAAGAACCCTAACCCAAATAAAAAAAAAGAAGAAAAAATCAGATTTAAAGAAAAAGAGAAAGAAGAAAGAATAAGCAAAAAGTTCAGATTTCAACCCTAACAATTTCGGACTTCAATAGCAGGAAGAACGAAATCATGTGATCAGGGTGAGGGAAAAAGGATTCGACAATTTTGCCAAGTGACGAAAGGCAAAAATGTTAAATTGATATTTTAACCTTGTAGAATAAGTTGCAACACGAGACTCCATTGGTTTTTCATTACTGTTATATTACTTTGCTGCAAGGTTGGTTATTCTGTTACCCCATAATGTAAATGTAATTTAAATAATTACATCTCTTACACCAGATGCTGCCTAAATATTTGTCTCATATTCAAACTCAAATGAACTCATGTACGGTACTTAGCATCCCAGTCCATATATCAGTGGAATGTTTTATGGTTTGAAAAATTATTTGTGCATAATAATTAAGCCGCATATCGAGTCCTTAAAATAATTATATAAATCATTTAAATGAAGTTATAATATAATATTTATTATTATATTATATTATTATATTTGATTAAAATTACATTATTATAATATTATCAATTCAAATTAAATTATGAATAAGATTAATTATATATATAATTTAGGAAACAGGGGACTTGTTCTCGAGAGGAGTTTGCTATAGTTTACGCAACCAACATGTGCACTCTTGAATTCCTTCAGCGTGCTGTGATTCGATGATGCACCTTGGATCAAGTTCTTTGTGATATCTTCAGTCCCTCGTTAAGCTCAAAACCTAAATTTCAGTTCTAGTAACTCTGAAAAATGAGGGTAAAAATCTAAAAATGAACAGGGCTTTGTGATTTCTCAATAATTGCGGGTGCAAACAAGGTTACAGACCAAGCTATACTGAGTTTGACATGTAAGTATGTACGTATGCAGACAAGATTAGGAGTTCGACATGAAGGACTTAGTACATTGAAAATCTTATTCACATAAAATGAAGAATATACTTACTACCTTGGATCAAAATTATCTTCTCCAAGGTCCTCAGCCCATAGGAATGCGTACTTGTATTCAGCAACTGTGTCTGGATGCAAGAAACGTTTGGCAAACCACCTACAACAACATAGCTTTACAGCTGATTAGTGCGGATAAAACATATGTATGCAGGTGTGCACACTACTGTGAACGAGGAAGAAAAACATTTGGGGCAATTAAATTTGATTCACTGCAGACGTATGTACGGCAAATCTCTCCATTCATCCACAATAAGTTAATAATGGTACTGAAAACAGTCCAGGACGCAGCACCTTTGACGCGCTTCAGTGTGCATTGCGCATACATGCGGTGAATATATTAATGTTAATGCTGTCAGATTCTTTCAATGCCACTCGCGCTGTTCTTGAAATAAATTCATCACTCAAAATGAAATTATTTCAGTTAAAGAATTTTGATTTAATTATTAATAAAAAGCATCATTAACATCTTATATACTTTACTAAAATTTTCTTAGATAATTATATATAACCATATGATATTTTTTAATTATTTATAAGCATATAATTTAGTGCAGCTCGCGTTACCCTAAGTCAATTCTGATACTAAATGGAAAGATATGAAATTTTACCTCGGAACCAAGCAAAAACAAATTGAACCATAAAGATTTTATAAAAAATGTCACACACACAGCGCATCTAATATCATTTGAGACCGGAATACATCGCTCGCACTATTATGAACTCTCCACAGAATACAATTGGCCCCAGATGAATTACGGGCCAGATGGATTTATAACTATTACTTCACGTCAAACATCAGCCTGGTGCCAAACTTGGTTTCCATGAGATCTATTGTTCAGTCAAAATTACTGCCCTTGCCATTTGTTTGTGTTTTGACCTGCATATGAATCGATTCCACCGAATGAGAAGGAATTATATACAAGAAACTCTCTCAACGGTACGTGTGCATGCACACAAACGCAAGCACCATGTGCTTGTGTGCACAAGCAAATGCGGCTGTACATGTTGGGGCGGTTCATTTTTGGTTGCTCTATATATAAGTAAGATCAGCTTATACCAGCCACTTCATCAATAAGATTGAATTGAGAAGAAAATATACCTTCTATTCCTGTGGGAGAAGAGCTATCTCAATTTCTTGAAGAGATTTTCCTTTTGTCTCCACTACATTCCTTTTAACGAAGACCACAGCCATCATGCAAACACTTGCAAACATCGAGTATAAGAGCTGTGGCCCAAGTTGCTCCAGCAAACGAAGGAACAGCAAGCCCACAAAGAAATTAATGACCTGAAGAGCAGTGCAGAAGCAACCAACCAAAAACCATCAGAAGATATACAGCAGCAGGGATCTATTTCTGATTTCTCTGCTAAAATTTGATATCCCAACTAGTGTAACTAAATTTGATTGCAAATGCTGTCACATCTCACAAGGATACAAATTCATTCTTGGAAGAAGAGAAGCAAACAACCAACAATGAAATGAAAGGAAAGGAAAGAAAAGAAAATTACCCAGTGCACTGACATACAGACTGCCATAGCTTTTGCCCTGATTCGACTAGGGAAAATTTCTGGTAGAAGGAGACCTGGAACAGGACCAGCTCCTAATGCAAATGTTAAGACGAACCTGCACATAGTTCAAATTAGAGTCCATATCCTGAAATTGTATCTCTAATTGCCTTCCAGCACCCAAGGCTAACATTTTACATCATAGGCAATTTATATCTCCATAATTAAGAACATAATCAAACTAACAGTTCTGCTCATGGTTTATAAAAAACTAGTATTAAATATTTTTGATAATCTTTTCATTATTTGCAGGACATTCAATTACACATCCAAGCTTTTGCTTATTTCATTGGTCAGAGTCAAGTCAGGTCTGAGCCTCTGAGGATCCAAACACATTTAAACTTACAACCAAGATTTCCAACTATGACTTCTACAGATTTTGAATACTTTCCGCCGCGTAAGACCTTGGCGTTGAGAGATTTTTAAAAACAGGTAAATTTAATCAATACTTACATTAGCATGCCGCCAACTGATAGGTATAAAGATCCAGAGCCTGACACATAAGTATTTGCTGCAGTGACTTGAAGAACCATTGATATAGTCTGAGTAAATCATATGCACACATAAATACCAATTTCTTGTCATAATTTGCATTCAAGAAAAGAAAATATATTTGCTTTTAGCTGAGCCATCCATAACATAGTAACAGCAGTCTAAATAACTGTACTTCCATAGTTCTTGTTATGAAGGATATACTAGCTTCTTTCACAGAAAAAATCATTTCGATTTCATTTCAAAATGAGATCAATGGAACACTTTTAACAAAGGAGGGCTCCTTTCTCTTGGCACAAAAGACAAAACATGTGTAAAGCATTGAAGAATATAAATTCAGATGCCCATGGGTAGACCATATGCCTTTTTTTTATTCATTTCTCTGAATACATGTCATGGAGCTCTATTAGAATACTACTTATACATGAAAGGGCTTTCCAGGAGAAAATTGGTGAGAAGAATTATATTTACCATGCCAAAGAAACTCCACAGAAGAAGCACCTTTCTTCCAAGTTTGTCCATTAATAGCATCGCAATGATAGATCCTACAATGAATGAAAAATCATAGATCATGAGACAAGGCAAAATGCCATAATACAACATGCACAAGACAGATATTAAGGAAAAAAGGTATACCTGATAAATTTGCAACTCCAATGAACACATTCGCAAGGTCTGATGGTACTCCCGCACTTTTAAATACAGATGAAGAGAAATAAAATACAGCATTTATACCGGATAGCTGTTGTAAAGCAAAGAGGGTTGACCCAATAAAAACAACTGCAAAAGGAGAACATGAATAACAAAGCCTAAAAGGGAAAAATCAAAGCAGAACAGGAAGCTACAGTGGTGGCAACAGCAAAAGCAGCTGTAGACGCAAAAAATGAAGAGAAGAAAAAAGGCATAAAACAAAAAAAGTTTCTAAACTATTTAAGAAAATTCAAATAAACGCTTATTTTTATTATGTTCAGTCAAGCTCTTGTACTTTATTTTGAACCAAATAAATCTTTATGACTAATGGTTTACTAATTGGCATTAGTCAAAATGACACATGTCATTTTTATGCCACATGGTATGTTGACTTGTCGTAGTTGATGGTGATGTGGCAAAATGACATTGTCACGTGGCAATTTCAACCCCTTTACTATGACAAGTCAGCATGCCGTGTCAATAACACATGAGCATAAATTAACAAATTTCATTTTGACGAACGGTAATTAGTCCACAATTAGTCATGAGAGTATATTTGAGCCCAAAAAAAGGTATAGAGCTTGATTGAATCCAATAATAGAAAAAGAGCTTATTTGAATTTTCTTGAATAGTTCAGGACTTTTTAAAGCATTGTGCCAATAAAAAACTGCTCAGAAAGCCTAAAGAGTAATAACTACCTCTAAAATGGCAGCCATAGAGCAATTCTGAGAGTTTCACAGTCTCTGCATCATCCCCTCTGTCAAATTTGGATAATTCTAACATGGCATATTTGACATGTGATCCACCTAAAAGCCTCTCAAATTCAGCTTCAGCTTCAGCACTTCTTCCTTGCTGTGTGACACCACCAAGACAATATAAGCATTTTACTTCAATTTGAACTTTAACAAAACTGAAAATCTGTTTTTGTCGAATTGGTTGGATGCTACTGGTGGTGGGCACATTTCGGAAACATTTCAATAGAAGAATGGTACTGTTTTATGCAGCAAAATTCAAAGAATAAATAACATAACCGAAAGGGATCTAGTAAAACTTGATACTGATTCTAACCAATGAATTGCATCTATAAAAGCAAGGAAGCGACACATACACCCATGGAGAATATATTACATAAAATCAGATAATTAGAGCAATGCAAAGTTAAGGGGAAAAAAGTTATGATAAGAATCAATATCCAAGGCTTTGTTTCAATAGTCATATGATACTATTAAGATTGAATAGTTAATATTTGAAATTGCAGATCACGAAAAAGAGGGAGCAAACCTTGTATAACCAATGTGGACTCTCAGCACAAAACATCATGGCAAATGCAAGTAACCCAGCAGGAATCGTGGAGACCCAAAAACAAATGCGCCACCTGAGCAAATTAAGCAAAATAAGTCTGAAAAGTAACATATCTATAAAAAATTCTACCTAAAGCATGATTCATACCAGCCAGCAATGTCTTTGACAGGGATTCCAATAAACAGAGCCCCCATAAGTCCCAGACATGTTGCAATCTGGATGAAGCTTCCAAAAGTACCCCTCACAGAAGCAGGGGAAACCTACAAGCATTGAGTACATAAATCAGGTAACAAAAAAACACTTTATGTTCATGCACAAAAGAGAGTGCTATATAATTCGATAATTAATGCACCACAAAATTAACAGTGTGGATACCTCTGTCACATATAGGGCTGCAACAGGTGGACCAAGCCCCATGCCAGTCCCAACTAAGAACCTTCCAATGAGCATACCCGCCAAATTTTTCGTTGTTGCACTGAAATGAAAATTTTGTTTTTCAGAGTCCCATTGCTATCCTTATAAACTCAGACTTTACAAAGTGAAACAGAGAGAAAAGAATCATGTGGCGACTAGAGCAAGTAAATAAAAGTTTCTTAGGACATTAAGGAAATACTCTGTATATCACATATTAACAAGTTCACTACATGACCTCTACACAACTAATGTTGCAAGAGCAAAAAGTTATCACTGGTCAAAATAGAAGAAAAATAATTATGTAACATGTATTAATCAAGGTCCTATCTATTCTAACTTCATTCAAGACAGTAGAGTTGAAGTCACACATAAGTTTTTCTCAAAGGTGATAAATTTCTAATACATTGTTCTCTGATATAAAAAACATATAATTCAATGCATCAAAAGTAAACTAATATATCACAAAAGGGAGGGTGTCAAATTCAAATTGCAAGGTATTATTAGCAGCACTAGGAAATAAAAAAAAGAACACAGCAGTCAGTAAGAAAGACAAGAGCACGGCACAAAAATTAATCATCACAAGCATTTGATTACCATTGCATATTACCTCGTAGAAGCACCAATAATCATAGGCAGAGCACACAACTGAAACGCCCTACGGCGCCCAACACCATCAGCAATCCAACCACTGAACAAAGATCCAATAAGGGCACCACCCAAACATGTACTCACCACCAGACCTACATTTAACATTTTATAATAAAGCCAATTATGTTTGAGGTCTAGACCTTAGATGTGAAAGTCAGAAAGGAAAAGAAAAGAAAGATGGGAAAAAGTTGTCACCTTCAGCCAGAGTATTCCCACTGAAACCTAAATCTAAAGAGATGCTCTCAAGCGGTTCATTAACTACCCTGTATAGAATAGTCAATATGCAAACCATAAACATCTAGTCATGTTAACCAATCAAAAAGAATAAGCAGGAAAATGAGATAGAGATGACAGTTTTATATAGAACACGAACCCAAGGTGGTAGCCAAATAGGAATGAAGATATGGTTGCCACTAGTACATGCGGGAAAGAAAGCCTCCATGAAGGATTCGTACTTTCCACATCCATGCTGTTCTGTAAGAGAGCTAAACATACACAATAGTTAAGCACAAAAATCTTCTTAAATGACTTGAATGCTCATAAAAAATTTTAAAGAATTCATTGAAGCAACCCTTTTCATAATTTTCCAGGAAATTAATTAGATATCCTAAAACAACCTCAATTTTTTTTAATCTGTTTTTCACATCATGGATCACCAAATGCAAATTTCTGAAGGGTGAACTAAAAAGAAAGCAAAAGAACTATACAACTGGAACATGTAGTGCTAAAAAAGAAGAAAAACAAATTCCAAAATCCTGCCATTGGTTAAATATTTTCTGCATACAGAATTCAGAAAGACGCAACATGGGATAAATACCAGTGAGCGCTTCAGGCAATTAGAATCGAACTGAGTTTGTTGGTTCTGGGTCTATCAACTAGACAACCATGGCTGTGCAGAGACCCTCAGCTAGTCAATAGATAAATTTACCTGAATTCTCTTCTACATCCATTACAGTTGAATGATCTCTTGATGACAACCTCTTGTACATTGAGAATGCTTCACGTTGACGTCCCCACATGCCAAACTAAAGCAGCCAGCTCCGGCCTTCAAATCACTTGATCTCGCTACTCTTGGTAAGGATTTACAGTCACATTGCACATAAATTAGCATTTAACGTCAAAATCTCATTTCCTTCATTCATCAAAGAACACCTAACATTCAAAGCTCTGTTTATTTGCCTGTATTAGAGCTTTAATACAAAACTTAAAACAAATTCCCATTCAACAGCTTGTATTTGGGCCAATTTCCATCATTCAAAACAAGTCAAACAAAATCTCAATCTACAGTTCGTAACGAAGATTAATCTGAAAGAGAACTGTTTAGATCGCAGTTAGGGTCAATAAAAAGCAAACGACTCTCTATTGCTATCATAATAACACAAAAACTTACCTCCCACTTTCACTAAGTTGACACTAAAAATCTGAAAATTAAGCTAACTTCTATCCTTACCGTTCAAAACTCACTTCATTTTCTCTTTTCCTTGATTTTTTTTTTTGAAAGGCTCTTTTCCTTGATTTTCTTAACAACCAAACAGAAGGAAAAGGAAAAACAGATGATCTTCGTAGTAAACCAAACTAAACCTATGAAACTATAATTGATCGCCTTCATCAATCAAACCAAATAACTTACAGAAATATAAAATCACAGTAAAAATTGCACAACAAAATGATCACTTAAAAGAAATCCAACGAAGATTAACGCTAAAAAAGTTAATATTCGATGAAAAAAAGTTAAAATTAAAATCACCTCGCTTAAGATGATTTGATAGATCTGCCGTACGTAATCAGCATACAGTTTTGGTGACAATTTCACTGTAAGGTTACGAAATTTCGCGAAAAAGAGAAAGCTCTGGAGTTACTTATAAGTAAAGGAAAATGTAAAAAAAAGAGAGGTGCGCTTAGGGGCTAACGTGCGCCGGGGGTTGTGAGGAGTGGGGACTGGAGGTTCCTTAAAAACTGCTGCAAGGAAACAGAGCAAAGGCAATGGTTCTTTTTCTACAGCGAACTAGACTCTATTAAAAAGCACGGGAAAGAAACAAGGTTGCTAATGCTACTTAATAAATCCTTTTTTTGTTTAATTAAGTTTGTTAGTAGCTAAAAAACAAATTTGCCCAGCTGGGAAATCAAATTTAAGTCTTAAAAAAAACGTTATTTACTATCTCACTGTCACTGTCGCGATCGAGAAGAAACGGGGTTTCGATTCGGTGTTGCGATTGTTTTTTTTCCAGGTGGACACCTGTCTTCAAGTTGAACGTGACAGGTCGGTGGAAGGAGATGTTGATGGGGGTAGTTTAGTCAATTAGTGTATGGGGAATTTTATTTCACGGTCGTAAGCAGGACAAGTGGCAAGCGTCCAGAAATGAGAGAAGTTTGAATTATTGCAGCAAGGAAGACTCCTGGTCTGTGCCCTGTGGAAGTCGTCGTTCAATAAGGTAAGGTAGTGCCAATGTCCTTATCCTTATAGCACCTTGCAGTTTCGTTGATTTACGACGCTGCCACTCTGGTAGTGGTGTAAATAAGTTAATCATCGAGCTATTAGGATTTAGGTTTATGGCAAGTTTTACCTTTGTAACCTTCTATAATAGATTTGTATACTGTTTTTTTTTTTTTAACAGGATTGGCAATCCCATATTGAATCAAACATCCAAAAAGGATAGAGTAAGGTAAGCAAATTCTTTTCATATATCCAAAAGCAATATGTATAATGAAATAGATGTACCAACGATTAAAATCTCAAAATTTCATGTTATAAAAAGTATGTAATGTATGTCAGTGTTCTTAATTTTATGAATGAACTATAACAATATATATAAATTTATAAAAAAATTTATTATCATATAATAATAACATATAATAAAATTTTTACTAATGTGGAAGTAAAGTTTTAGTAACATATAATAACATATAATAACATAGAGTTTAAATAAGCTTATAAATCACATATCTACATTTTTAATCCAAAAAATATGCTTGATAGATAATAGAAGACTCATACTTATATACCCAAGACCCATCTTGTTTTTTATTAATGTGGGATCTGTGACATTCTTGTTGCGTGGCCAATACCATATTCGCAAAAAGATAACCTAATGAGGTATGCAGTGCCACAAAGTAGGGATGGCAATGAATACTCTATTACAAGGTATTTATGGATACCAATTAAGTTATATAGGGTTAGGGTATCCTATAACTGAGTTTAAGACAAGTTCAGGTACCACCCATTAAGTATCCGCTACCGGATTATTATTTATAAATTTTTTATTATTATTTTAATAATTAAATTAAAAATACAAATTTTACCAGCTTTACAAGAAATTCTTTTTATTAAAATCTAACAAATATATGAGAAGTATGGTTACTCTAATTATTAATGTGATGACATTAATATATTTAAATTAAAAAATATTAAATTATTAATTATGTTTAAATAATATGAATATCATATTATATTGAAAAGGAATATAATTACTATTATATATATATATATATACTTTTGATATAAATATGTTTACTTTCTATTTTTTATTAACATTAAAAAATTTATAATTTATAAAATTATTAATTATAATGTATATACTCTTGTTTATATAAACTTATAATATATAAATCTAAAGGGAAGTTGTGATATTAAGGCAGTTTTAAAACTTAGTTTTTTTTTAATTTCCATGTAATTAAGGACAAACTTATGTAGTTAATTAAATAAATTAATGAAACTATGATATATTAATTGACTTGTAATGTCTTTTAATATATATACTTTGTATACATTTTAGTTCATTTATAAAAAATATAATTACTATTATATATATACTAAAATACTTTTAATATGTATACACTTTAAATATAGACATATTTACTTTCTATTTTGTATTAACATTACAAAAATTATAATTTATAAATTATTAATTATGTTTGAGATATTTATTTTTAATTATTTAAATTTAAATTTTATTATTTTTTTGTTTTTGTTAATTTAATTATTAACAAATTATATAGAATATATAAGAAAAATATTATTGTATATGGATATGAGTATGGATTTCGACTTGGGTAATTGGGTACCTATTAATAACATTTTAATAATTTTTTTACATAATCAAGTTTTTAAACGGATTAGAGTAATTATAGGATAGTGGAGACGTATTAGGATTAGGGTTAGAGTAATAATTTTTAAAAATATTCAAGTAGTTAATAAGATTTGGGTATTTTATTTTTTATAGGGTTAGGGTTTGGGTACCTCGAAATTAATAAGTACCTTACATGTTGACAACCCTAGACCACTATTTGTAAGTCACTCAAGATTCCCATACTTGCCTGATGTGGGATTTTGGAAGCACTTTACCTATTTCCTTCCTGAAGTGCTAAGCGTAACATCCCCACCCACTTAATTTGACGACACCCTCGTCGTCGTCGTTTACCATGCCTGCCTCCCCCTCGAGGTGCTTGGAGTGGAATTAGATCAAGGGCTGGTCTATTCTAAAGCCACTTGTTACGGAGTTATTATCCTTTTCTTAAAAGGCTAACCTAATAAGGTGTGTAACGTCATCGCTTATAAGTTACCTAAGACTCCCCTACCTGCTCGATGTGAGATATTTAGAAGTACCTTGCATACTTTCTTCCCAAAGCATTAGGTGGGACATCCTCACCCACTCAATCGAACAACGTCATCTTCGCCATCAGCCACCCTATTTGCCTCCCCTTTGAAGTGCTTAGCGTAAAATTGGGTCAAAGTTGGATTTGCTCTAATACCACTTATCATGTCAAGGTTCGGTTTACTTTAATACCACTTGTTACGAGAGTATTACATTTTCCCCAAAAAGCTAATCTAATGGAGTATGCAGCATCACCGCTTATAAGTCACCTAAGACTCTTAGTGGAATACCTATATTTATATATCTAAAATCCATCTTATTTTTTACAGATGTGAGAACCGTGATATTATACCTCACCAAATTGTGTACTGCCTTTGTTGCATTGGTTATTTACTTGCAGAGGAAGAGGACTCTTATACTAGTCTGAGTTTACCTTGATCCTTGTATCTTTTATGGAATCTACATCAATGAAGATTTAAGTCTATTTTGATACAAAATATCATAGGTCATAACTTAAGATGACATGAAGTTAAATTTAAATTTTGACTTGCGACACTAGACTTAATGAAACTTTTATACTCTAAAAAAGAAATGTAATTTAACAAGAAAAAGGAAAAGGAAATGAGCAAAATAATAACATCGAAAACATTCTATCAATACCTAGTCATGACAATGAATTTCAGGTAGGACAAAGTTGATTGGTAACAATAAATTGAGCTTGAAAAGGGATCATTTAGGGAGACTTGAAACCTTAGTCTTTATCATTTATCTAAAGAGTGACAATATTATAAAAAAGACACGACATTGAGTGGAATATAAAATTTTTATTTTTATTAAAAAGTTACAAAAATGAGATTGTCAAATAAAACATTCAAATTTTTAAAAAATAAATAGAAATTAAGAGTTAGCTTGGCATTTTATCAAACTATATTTTTAAAGTAATCTTTAATTGAGATTTTAAACCCAAAGAAGGGGTCAATGCAAGAATAAATACATGAAATTTAGTTATGACGGATGAATAAAATATTCTCCGAAAATAAAAAATCGAAGAGATGTAAATTTGAGTGTTATCATCTTATTTAATTACTTATTTATTCAATATGTATACAATTAATAGTATGTACGTGTCAACAAGACAATATACTTTTAGAAACATGCTATGAAGATAATATAAGCGAGACAAAAAATGTAATTCTGTAACATAAGAAGAGTATTTTAGTTTAGTTAATAGAAGTCAAAGAGAGCACCTAAAATTTTGACGAAAACTTTAGTGTTATGTCAATCAAAAGGAATTATACGTAATAAACAGGAAAATTTGAGGAACAAAGTATAAAATTGAGAAGAATCGGGGGCTATTTCCAAAACAAAAGGAAGCATCGGGGCCAAAACGGACTAGTCTTTGTATTCTTTTGCAAATATAAAAAAAGTACCGCCGCTCACGTAAATTCACGGCCAAAAACCAAATACGTGGCGCTAGGGTTTTTATACCCCACCCGTACCGCGGTATCCGAAATCTCTGCTCGATCGGGTGTCAGACGAGCGCTCCCACACAAAGGGAAGGAAAAAGAGAGAGAGAAATGGGGTCTAGAGACAAGGACCAAAAGATGTCGCATCACCAGCCGCTACTTAGCAGCCTCGTTGTGCGGCCTTCGGCCAGCGACGGAGCTGATGGCGGTGGGGGTGGAGGAGGAGGCCGTGGTGGTGGTAGCGATTACGAGCCTGGAGAGGTCCGTCGTGAGCCGCCTCCTTATTCTCGCTCTGATCGATACAACGATGAACCTGGTTCGTTTTTCTTTCTTTCTCTTTTTTTTTTCTCTCCTTGTTAATTTATTAATCAATTCTTTGTTTATTGTTTGACTTTGTTTCAATATTTTTATTAATCTACTGACAGTGTAGAATCCAAGCTACTTTTGCGGCATTGCTTTAATTGAAAGCAAAATGAATCATGTGATTTGAAACCCTAGATCGAAGTAGGATTTGGAATCTAAAGTGAAATGAGCAATTTACTGTGTGATTGAGTTTGCAGCTTTATAGAAGGCATTGGTGAATTTAAATGACTTTAATTCAATGCCAATTTACATTTCCAGTGGATTTATGCACGATTTGTGCTTTTTAGGAGTTTCTAGATGATTGATAGGTTACTGAGTGAATTTAGGGGCACCTGTATGATTAATGTTCCTGAGAGAGGAAACTCAGTTGTTAGGGAAACAGCATAATTGCAGTTTGTTTTGTACTTCGTATGAATGTATCTTTGTGACAATAGGTCATAGAAAGGGCTTTGTTTATGTTTGTATTGCAATGTCCTGTAATCTGTCCTGTATGTGTTGTTTCAATATTCCTCTTACCATGATGCTATATGACATATCTGAATCTGATATAAGCATGACAGATGGTTGTACATAAATGTACTAATTACATTGTATTTTGTTCAATGACTATGAACTAATTACATAACAGATGGGTTTTTACAACCTGTTATTTCTTCCTTATGTTGCATGTCGAGCATGTGGATCTAATACCCTTATGGAGTATCGAGTTGCGAATAAATTTTCCTGTTGTGTGTTACAGCTGTGAATGTTGCCTGCAAGAACTTGGGTCTTGACGAAGGCATGTTGGTGTGAGTGCAATCATGGATCATTGTTGGGGTTTATTGTTTTTTTGTGTTAAAGGGGTTAATGTTTTGTGCCAAATGCCATCTATGTGTGTTGGGTATGATGAATGAACTTGTGGTGCTGATCACTAAAGACAAGCTATTACATCTCGGTTTTGAAGCTATTATCACTTGTCTCAGCTTGGGCAAGAGTTTGAAGATAGTGACTATGGGTTGGGTTCAATAGAATATCATATATAATTTGAAATGCTAATTTTAAATGTCTATTTAAGAGGTTTGTGGTTAAGTGTTTCAAGATCGTTGCAAAGCATGGTCTGGGAATCAGAATACTGACAACATCAAAGTTTTGGATCTGCTCAATGGTAAGGTTGGTCTCTTGGCTGGAAAAACTAGTGTGGTCATGGGCTTCGGTGTATGTATTAATAGAAGACAGTATTGGACCATGATAACTAAATTTTTGGTGGGAATGGAGCTCTGCTCTCTTAGACTTTTGTTAGTTTTGTTAATTTATGGCAGTGCTTGATGGTGGAGTATCTGGTAACCGGCAATGGAGCGTTTGGGGTGGAGTTTTACTTGGTTTGCTTATGGTTTTTATTTTATTTTTTCTTTTTTTCGAGGATGGGTAAGTAGGTTTTGTTTAGATGGCTCTAGAATAATAATTTCTTGTGGTTAGTAGTAGTCTTTACAAGTGCTTGGGATATTGTGGAATTTCCTTCATGCATTAAATTCTATCTTCTCAAGGCGTCCTGTGTGTTTTTGTTATTTGTGTTTAATTGAGTAGTTAAGCTGGTGGAGAAAGTTACTGGAGATATAAGCATATATAAAAAGTGGTCAGTGAATGATGCATTGCTCCTTGGGATTGAAGAAGCCCTGCTGGTTTCTACTTTCTACCCACCAGGCTGTGTATAGGGATAGTACACTCAGGTTTGGGTGGTAACTCTTATTGTTGTTTGCTTGCAAGTCATGTTTTGGGTGCTTGGTGGAGCCTTTTCAAACAGTGTGGTGAGACCAGCTATTCAGAAAAGCAGACCATTTGGTAGCTGTTGACTTACTGGTTAATCTATTTCCACATGGGTGGATATTATTTGGTGGTTTACTTCCCTTAGTTTTGCTTCATTGCTCAGAATAAGGCAATTTGGACGACAGTTTTTGGTTTAAATTGTGGTGGTTAAAGGTTTTTGTGTTGGACTGTCTTGTATTAGGTGTATGTACATTTTATTATCTACATGCTGCAGAAGTGGATGCCACTCTTTTCCCACTTCTACCTCCCTGCTGCATCAAACGTGGTTGCTCCAGATTTATGATTTTGGGGTTGATAGTTCATATTTTTAGGTTGATAATCCATCTTTAAGCATGTAAAGTTACAAGATAAATGGGTTTGGCGATCTAGGAAAACTTGATCTCATATCTTCCCTGAGGACTGTGAGCTGTTCTAATGTGCATCGGATACTGGTAATACTCATGGTTTAGATTTGCTCGTTGCCCCTGCTTATGTACTGGTAAAATGTTGTGTTTCAAAAGTAACAAGGACAGTTAACGTTTGAAATAAGTATTCCCTTCTATTCTGGATTTTTCTTTCCATACCCATGATGAGGAGATCTTGATCAGTGGTAACTGTCCTTGCAAACTTTATTTTATTGGTCATTTGGACATTTCATTGGCCATATGGATTCCGACATCATAAATACATCATATTCCATTATATTTCCCTTATGTAATTGGATTTTGCTTATCTATAGGCATTATTGGCTTTTTTCCAGGATATAGAATTCGTGCAGGTTCTAGTTCCCCTGTACGTCGTAGGGATGCAGATCACCGTTATGGTTCCAATTTTGATCGCTCAGGTGGCCCATCACGAAGCCGTGATTTTGGTAATGGGAGGGATCCTGGTAGATATCGAGACTCTTCACCTCCTTATAATCGAGGACCGGGTGGTGGCAGGCCACTCGGCAGAGGTTTTGATGGGGCTGGATATGGTCCTGGAGCCTTCAGAGGTGAAGGCATGACTAGAAATAATCCTAACGTGCGTCCAAGGGAAGGAGACTGGGTCTGCCCAGATCCTTTGTAAGTTATGACCTTCATGATGTGAATTTTGTTTCTAGTTTTCCTCTTTTAAATATTTTTATGCTTCTTGTGTTGCATTTTTTATAACACATTTTCTTTTCCCTGTTTATTAATTTTATATCAATTGAGGCACTCTTGTGCTGATCATTGTCCTTCAAAATTAAGAAGAAACCTAGATTGTGTAATTTTATGTTCATCGATGAACTTATGTTAATTAGAAAGAGTTATAAATCTCAACGTTTTGAAGTTTTGTTCTGCTTTCCTAGCACAGATGACAGATTCTATTTTCTGTTTATTGCCTTTTCTTAAGTGCTGCTTGGCACCACAGCACAGTGTGGTGGGGCTCCAGTGGCAATTGGAGTAAAAAGGGGGTTCTGGTGCGGCGGAAGGGGCTCCCCACCACACTGTCCTGTGATGCCCTTCTCCCCACCACACTGTCCTGTGATGCCATACGCACCTTTATGCACTTACAACTTTGAAGCATCTGACATTGCCGTTTTACTTTATGTCCTTGCCATGTCTCAGATGTAGAAACTTAAACTTTGCAAGGAGAGAATACTGTAACAACTGCAGGAGATTTCGATATGCACCTGTGGGAAGTCCTCGTGGAGGCTATCCTGGTCCTCCACCTTCACATGCTCCTCCCAGGCGCTTTCCTGGCTCTCCCATGGATCTATCACCGCCTGGCAGGAATATGAATGGCTTTAGATCTCCTCCACGTGGTTGGGCTAGGGAGGGCCCCAGAGAGTTTGGAGCTGGTGGTCCACCACCTCCAAGGCATGAAGGCAGGTTTTCTGATCATAGCATGCGTAGAGATAGGCTGGATTTTCTAGATGATGACTACAGGGGGAGAAATAGATTTGACAGGCCAATGCCAATGGATTGGGGACATCGGGATCGTGGAAGAGAGAACTTCTTCAATGAGAGGAAAGGGTATGAAAGGCGACCACCATCTCCACCTCCACCTCCACAGCTCCCTCCCCGAGGAAGGTGGCCACGTGATGTGAGAGAGAGGAGCAGATCACCAGTCCGGGGTGCTCCTCCACCAAAAGAATATCGTCGCGATATGTACTTGGAACGAGGACGAGAGGATCGGCGTGGTGTGGGAAGAGACCGAATGGGAGATGCATATTAGTAAGGGTAGGATTTTTAGTAGTGGTTTGCATGGAGCATGCGTTTTCTGTAAATTGAGGGAAGTGTTAAGGGGACAGCTAGGACTTAAATAGTCAGTGCTATGCTTATTATTTCCATTTCCCCCAAGACATTTGGTAAATTTGTGAGACTTGAGAATTTATTCGTTCTCTTTTGGGTCTCGTTATTCAGTGTTGTTTTTGTTGACTTAAAAGAAGAACTACTGTTAGTAGTGTCGTCTTTTAGAATGCAGGAGGTAGGAGGCAGCGCTTTCTGTCTTAGCCAGACCCTACGTTGCAATTTGACTTGGTTGACTCAATACCATTGGAACAAATGCTATCATCTTTGTCTTTCACTCTCACCGTCTGACGAGTCTTTACGATCTTGGTAAGGCGTAGACTTTGACCACAGTTCAACATGGATTAATGGAGCTTTGCCGAATGTTCCTATCCACTTTTGTTCAGAATTTCACTCTGCTGAATCCGTATGAGGTTTCTATATTAACAGCTTTTTATATCTTAGTAGTATAAGATAAGATGAAGATCTGTGTTCATGAATATTTTTGTGTACCTTGGACTCGATCAAGGGCCTTTTGTGCAGTTGCAGTTATATTTTTTACTGTATTATCAAAAAATTTCAAATTATTTCCATAACCAAATACTATAATTCATTTTATTTAATTATTGTTAATCAGCAAAAATAAAACAGAAGAAAAGCATTCAATGCTACTACTAGTTATTAGAACACACATTTACTAAATCAAACAACCAATACCTTTTGTGAAACCAGATAAGTGATTGTAATACTACAAAATTCAAGCATTTGTTACACGTTTACACTTCACTCTCGTACAATCCCTCCTTGTTTTATTTTTGGCCAGACGTAAATCAAGCATTTGCCTGGTTCTTGGATCTTGGTTTTTACTGGTACTAGTACTTTTAGCCTTCCAAGTCAGCGAACATCTAAGCCCTTTCAGCGCCAATTTTATTTTTATTTTCACTTTTTAACGGAGCCGAATCTTGGAATGTTCCCTCCTTTTTTTTTTTACTTAAACTTCCGCCAATCCTATCACCCAATCCAATCACGCCAAACGTCAAAAGATAATCCCCCCAGACAAATCTCCACGTGTCACAACCACAATGGTGAACAACTCCCACTCCATAGTCGCAATCTCACTTTGCAGTCTCCCCTCACTCACACCCTCTTAAGTTTTAACCCGCACCGCTTTTAATTGAAGGTTGCGATTAATCAGATCCAACGATTAGCAACTCACCACAATCACTCCTATGAATTTCACCCGTCAGATCAATTCTTTCGATATGAACCGTCGGATCGAAAACCCACGCGAATCTCACCCTTCAATAAACACAAAAAAATTGAAATTTCAAAACTTAGCAAGAGAGAGGGAGGAGGAACGAGGAAGAAGAAGAAGAAGAAGAAGAGAAGGACACCAACAAGAAATAAAAAAGGCCCCCTCTTTTGCATATCTCCCTTCGTTTTTTTTCTTACCAAATCATTGCTATAAAAACCCTAGTCCTTTCTTTCTCTCTAAAGTTCTTTAGTTTTTACCACTCTATGCATCGATCGGAATCAAAATCTTCTCGATATTTTGGCACTTTTTGGTGGAAATCTCGAGCTTGGAGAAATCGCGGATATTTTTGTAATTTGAGGTTTTGGAGATTGTAGATTGAGATTTGGATCTGAAAGTGGGTGAATTTGAGTTGATTCAAGACAATTTGTGAGATTATTTGGTCGATTTTCAGCTGTGGCTCTGTAGGGGAATTGGAAAAATATTGGAATTTGATTAAACTTTTTTGAAATTTAAGGGAGTTCGAATTGGATGGGGGAAGGAGAAGGGGGTGACTTCCCGCCAAAAAAGGTGCAATCGGATACGGCCGATTTTCCGGCTAAGAAACTAGCAAGGCAGCTAGATTTCACGGCCGGTTTTGGCGGGGTTTCTTCTGGAGGTGTAGTTTTGCCGGAACACCCGCAATCCACACAAGGGATAGCTGCGGCTGCGGCGGCTGCTGTTACTCAGCAACATCAACAGCAACAACAGCAACAGATAAAGCCGCCGGTGGTAGCGACCACCCCTGTGGCTGCCACGCAACCTCCTCCTCTTACTACGGCATCATCGAGGGTTGTGTGAGTTTTTGCAATCTCAATTTGTGATTTTTTTCTTTTAGTTTGTTATCTTTTTGGTGTTTGCTCTGTGGATTAATTTTTTATTTTAGAAAAATTAAATTTTTTACCCTTTTTGGGAGTGTATATAGTTAGGATGTCTGGGGTTACGGTCTTCCCTGTCCTGATTAACATTTTACTTTTACACGCTTCAAAATTAATTCTTTAGTTTCAATGATTTTGAATCAAACTCTGCTAATTTTTTTTAATAACTATGTTTTATAAAGGTTGAGTGATTCTTGCATCTGATAAGCAGAATTTGGGTTTTTTTTTTTTCTGGGAATTGATCTCTTGGAGGTTAATTGGTGCTTTTGCATTCTTGTCCTTTTCTAAATTAATTGTTTTGCTTTAATTTCTTCTGTAAACATTGTTTTGGAATGAAGGCGTGAATCAGTTGCTTTGTAGGGACTTTGGTTTTGTTTGAGCTTTATCAGTCACTATATATAGCTTCTTACACCTCTACTGAGGATGTGTTTGGCATTGCTTTTCCCTTTCTATCTCTGATGATTATTAATCTTAAAAAATGCAGATGGAATTCTTGCTGTAATTATTAATGCTGATCTTCTCAGATATGTGTTGCATTTATTGAAGATATTAACCCAAAACTTGAAGTTAATTGTTTAAACAACTGCAGGAGTGAATGTTTCAAACTTCAAGAACTGCTGGATTACTTTACAATATGTCATTTTTTGAAAATTTTTATATGGAATTTAGTTGCCTTTACTCTAACTCTATTCTTTCTCGTTCTTTCTTGTTCTCTTCAGAAAACCAGAATCTCCAAAAGCAAAACCAAGACCAAATGAACTAAAAGATGGTACTCCAAAGAAGCAGAAGCAGTGTAACTGTAAACATTCTCGGTGTCTGAAACTGTGAGTACATTATATATGCTTTTTTGAGATTAATGAGTTCTTCTTCCATGATTCAATGCTGCTCTGCTCTAGATATCTTCTTGAACAGCTGTTGTAACTATTTTACTTGTTGGCTCTAGTGGTATATTTCTTACAAACTGTTCTACATTGGGTTCCTTGTGCCATGTGATCATAGATTTTGTATTCACAAAGACGTGCAATCTCTTTTGTGTGCAAGATAAGAAATTAGCTTTGTTCCTTACTTGCAACTTTAGGGTTCATGAAATGGGCAGGGCAAATAAACTATTTAGGTTGTAGCTAGTATCTTTAAGTTTATCATTTTGCAGAAATCAGACATTTGTTTTTGGAAAGATGATAGATCACACTCATCTGCAGCTTCTGTCCACCACCTCACCTCCATGTGCATGGTGAGGTGGCCATCTGTATGTATTGATCCATTTAATCTTTCCTTGCCGAATGATTACAGAGCAACAGAAGATTTGGTTAGCTAGAAAGATTAAGGTTTTGTCTTGTGACCATAATCCTTTAGAATTTTTTGTGCCTAACTTATCGTGGTACTTTAACAATGTCCCTGATCTGATTACCTCAAACTTTGCTATTTGATTTCTTTTCTTCTTTCAAATTTTTTAGGGAAAGAAATGTCAAATGACTTTGGAGATTATTAAGAGAACAAACCTGAAAAGTTGAGTTGGATAATAGAAGGAAATATTTTGCCTTAAATAGGGAAGTTTAGTATTGCCTATTTGGTGGAGTGTTTATATCTATCTATGTTTTAATGGAAAGAAGACTAGAACTAATCAGCAACAATCAAGTAAATACTCTTTTCTATATTTTGTACTGATATTAGTTAATGCATGGTTCTTAGAAATATGTCTGGCAAACATTAATTTTTTTATCATTAGCCCCTAGCTGAATTCGATCTCGCCTTTTTTTTTTCAGGTTGATAAGTGGTAATTCCTAGCGTATAAGTTTGTTCTGCATCACCTTTCCAAACCTTTTCCAAATTTAGATTGGTTTGGCCCGAGCAGCCTTGAAATGAAATTAGTGCAAGGTGTAGGAATATTTCCTTCTGTTCTAATTGCAGAAATAATAGGAACTGGACTAATTGCAGAATAGGAAGACTATGGCTTCAGTTTTCAAAAATGCACTTCATTCTCCATCCAATTGTGCCAAAACCCTAGGCATGCTTCAATAACAGATGATTCTGTTAAAAAATTTCCTTAAGCTAACCTTTCATTCTACTTAATCTTTACCCTCTTCGCTATACGTTATCTAAAATGGTTTTCTAGCTTAGGATCTTGATTATAGATGTATAGATGTGTTCCAGCACACTGATAAGATTCACAGTTCTTGTATGTTTCATCTGTTGAGAAGTATGCATGAGTGGAAATAGATGAAGATAGATTTATGACTTTTATAGGTAGCATTAGGCAGCATGCCTTGGCATTTTAGATACTAATTTTTTACCTTACTCTTTCTTATGTATGATTTTTCTATTCATATAATGTGATTAAGCCATTTTTGTATGTGAGCTATAATCAACTTGTTTTATGTTATAAATATACAAAGTTAATAATGCAATGCCTTGATCAGGTACTGTGAGTGCTTTGCATCTGGAATATATTGTGATGGGTGCAACTGTGTTAATTGTTATAACAACGTTGAGAATGAAGCTGCAAGGCGAGATGCTGTTGAAGCAACTTTGGAGCGTAATCCAAACGCATTCAGGCCAAAAATTGCTAGCAGCCCTCATGGCGCTCGGGATAGCAGAGTATGTGGGCCAAACCTGATTTTTTTTAAAATTTTTTCATTCACATATATAAAATACAAATTTCCCTCACAGATTTGCACAATATTGATTCAACAACAGCCATAAAATTTATTAGTTAATTTTCATCAGTGGAGATACTGATATTCATGGGTCTCGTAAAATGTCTACCTGGGATCATAGGTTTTGTTGCCTTTACTCATTGTTGGGCCTGTTGAAATATTCAGAATCTTTTAAAATGATATTCTTCTGTTGAAATGTATAACCATTTGATTTTAGCACATAGTTAATATCCTCTTGTCTGAGTTCTATCTGGTTGGGCTATTGGAAATTGATCTTATGAAAAAAGGGCCTGGGTATTGAT